TAGGAGCAAGTGGAGCTGAGAGCAGGCTTGATTTTTGGGGTGGGGGGCTGTGCAAAGGGCTTGAGTGACAGGAGCTCAAAGGTGGCTCTGTGCAGTGCCGGAGGGGTCCGGAGAGGCTTCCTGAGGGAGGGGGAAGCTGGGAGATGCAGCTCCATCCCCAACAGCCTTGCTGCAGGACAGAGCCCTGCACCCCACTCCTGAGAGACGGGGTGATGCTGGGCCCCTTGGTGCTGGGGACACCAGCCAGGCAGGGCTGTGACCCCTGCCCCGTCCCCCCCAGAGCTGTTACAGCGTTGTGCCAGCTTTGGCTGGGACAGAGTTAATTTTCCTCATAGCAGCCAGCACGGGGCCGAATTTTGGAGCTGCCTGTGCTGGAATAACTCCAGGATGTTTAGTTCCTGCCAGCAGTGTTTACACAGCGTCTGGGGCTGCTCTGCCTCTACCAGATTTTTATTATTAAAAAAGTGACGAGGGGTAGCGATAGGACAGAATGGAAAGAAAAGACAGAAATAAAGCAAGGATGTGGTGTGAGAGAGGAGAAACCAGGCCTGCGAGAACAGCCTGAGAAAGCAAAAGTGGAGGCTGATAGAAGAAATGCCTCAAATACTCTCAAGACAAAACTATGAGTCACAGGGTGGATAGTGTGGAGGTCGAAGCTGATAAGGCTGCCCGAATAACGCAAAATGCAGCTGGAGGAGTGAGCCCTGTGGAGACAGGATGGTTCTGCTCTGGGGCACCTGGCCAAATTCCAAGGGCCATCTGTCCGGTGAATGAACTTTGCTTCATTATCCACGAAATGCATATTAAACTTAACACCCCCAATATGCTAACGAGGGCTGTCATGATCATGTTAATTACATCATCCCATGGAACACCTTACCCCTCCCCAGACATGGGATACGTAGCTATGTGGGTCGACCTAGGGGATGAACCCAAGGAAACTGTATAAATCAAGGTGGGGGGAAGAAGGGGGGGTGGCCTGGAGAGAGCAGTGAAGCAAAGAAGACGGACGCAAGCGAAAAAGATGACTGCCTCCTGGAACCCTCGCTGGCAGGATCAGCACAGGAATTTAGACCGGTGATCGGTTGTGGGTGCACACACATCTGGCTTCGATGGTAGATGCACACCGAGCAAAATTTGAAGTTCATCATATCCGCTGATCAGCATATCTGCCCACCCTTAGGTTTTTTTTTTCTCTGGTCCAACAGTTTTTGTTGGGCTTCAGGGCAGGAAGGTTTCCCTCTTGTCAGTTCATCAGCAATGCACGCATGGGGTATGGCCTGCACAATAGAGCCACAAATGGCTACACATGGGGCCAACTCCATCTGCCCCTTTGAGGCTCGTCTAAAGGGTCCGGACAATGCAGCTGCAAAGTGAGGGGGTGCATCCTTCAATACACTCCCGCTTCTCGGAGCGACATCCCCCAGACCAATCCCCAGGCTGCAGCAGCTTCTCTTGGAGGTTTGCACAGACACAAGCAAGCTTTGAGACAGTCATATGGCATTTCAGTCTCTCGCAGGGGGGCACAAGGAGCTGGGGGGGGCAACACAGCTGACCTCAGCTGACCCAAGGGGTGTCCCAGACCATACGGCATCATGGTCAGTGTATAGAGCTGGAGGGGGAGCAGAAGGAAGAGGGGGCACGTTTGGAGCGATGGCATTTGTCTTCACCCACCTGCCATGGAACAGGGTGAATGAATCCCTCGGTCTGCTTTGCTTGCATGTGTGGCTTTTGCTTTCCCTATTCGACTGTCTTTATCTCAACCCATGAGTTCTCTCACTTTCACCCTCCCAATTCACTTCCCCACCCCACCAGGGGGGCTGAGCTGCCGGCCGGGGTTAAACCACGACAAGCAGGGAGCCTCCAGGCCAGCCCCCCCCTGCCTCGGGGCAGCGCCCCCCGTGCCACCGGGGCTGCCGGCATGTGGCACTGGGCTGCCCAGCTTCGGCCACGTCCGAAGTGACCCGGGCAAGACCCTGCAAGAAAATCCCGTCTGAAGCTCATCTGGCAGAGCTTCAAGTATGCAGCTGGCCTTTCCCCAGCTCGCTGGAAGCCTTCACGCTCCTCACCCTCGGCAGGCTCAGGTCCTTGGGGCTGAGGCCCCACAAGGATGGGAAGAAAAGCCTTTTTTTTTGCTCCTCTCCCCAAGAACATCGATCTCCTGCCAAGAAGCTGAGCTCTTGAGTAAGATGTCAGAAATCCCACCCGCGAAACACAACAGTTATTTGTTGTAGGATCCCTGGCACCAACTTCCTGGTGAATCATCTACTCCTCTGCTCTTCCCATAAGAGCAAACAAGCGCACGCTCCCGGTGGCAAACAGGGCTGATCGCTGCCTGCCTGGCTCGCAGGGCAGTGACATGCCCACCGGCAGGATATGGGATCAAGCACCCCCATCTAGCTGTGGGGCTCGAGGGGTTTGTTTAAAAGGGCAGCAAACCCCAGCTCAAAAACATCGCCCCAACCGCTCAGGCTCTTGGCAGCTTTGCTCAAGCACTGGCAGCAGCCGCATCCGTTATCCGAGGGATTGGCAGTGTGCCGCGCTGCATCCCGCATGCTCCCGCACACTCCTTCCTTGTCCTGCTTGCTCCCTGGCCCAGGAGCAGGATCTAGCCCTGTTCTGCCCAAGCACATCACTGCCCCGGGGGGGAGGTTTATGCCCATCTGGGCTGGCACAGGGTTGTGGGCTCACTGTGCACTTCCCGGGGAGCTATTGCCCCTCTCCTTGATCAGCCAACACATGCAAAAAATCCTGGGGCCTATTTTCCTAAGGACACTCTGCAGCCACAAACCCACCAGGGCGGCGATATCCCTGGTGGGAGCAGGATGGAGTTGGAGAGGGAGAAGCAGCCCCTCACCCTCTGCATCACCTCAAGACCTCCCATGTCTCCCCAAAGGGCAATTGGGGCATTTTGGCACGGGGATGCCCCTCGGTGCCAGGTCCTGGTGGGTGCTGGGAGGGAGCCGCGGGGGACAACGGGAACAGGGTGGGCTTTGAAAACAGAGAGAGCAAAGCCCTTTTTCTGGGGTAAATTCACCCGATTTGGGGCCTGCCACCCCACAGTGGGGAGGGGTAAGGCAGCAGCACTCCAAGGACACAAAGAGTCTGTTTCTGCTTTATGGCAATTGCTTCAGGCTGTTGGCAAGCAGCCACCAAGCCCTTGAACTCCCGGCCACACTGCCAGAAGTGAACGCAGAGCGAGCTGCTTTCAACCAGCCGAACAAACCTCCCGCAGACCTGATGGTCCCACATCTGCCTCGCAAACCCTTCCCCCCCGGGGTGCAAAAGTCACCCGCCAGCTTGGTGTTTTGCTTTCCCTCACCCCCGCCTCCAGCGCTTGGCCCAAAACCCATCACCCACCACATCCCCTTAACTCTGCCCGGCCCCACTCTGAGCACCCTCGGGGACCCAACCGCCTCCCCAGGGGCTGGGGGTGCCGGTGGGAGTGGGGCCGGGCAGAGGCATCAGCAGTGCGGGTTGAACTTTGTCTCTCTGCTTTCTGACGTCTCATTTGTTCAGGTTCGAGGGCAAATAAATGAAAAAGCTGGAAAACCAAGCGGGGAGGTGAGCTGGGGTCAGCGAGCCACCGGCTGCATTCCCGCTTGTGCTGGGGAGGGATGGGATGCTGCGGGAGACGGGATCCCTCAACGGACATTCAGAGCCAGTGGACGAGGAATGAAGCGGCTGCGCTCAGTCCTTGGGGCTGCCAGTTGTCCCCAGCTGGCATCTCAGCACCGCAGGTCCCTCTGCCCCCACACGAGCCAGAGAAGCAGGTGGTGCCTCACGGAGGGACCCTGGCACCCCAAAGTGGGGAGCTCCGTGCTGGGCTCCTGCAGGCAGCTTTGTCAGCGGTGCTGTGCATCGGGCGTTGGGGCTGGAGCATGAACAACCCCCTGGAAATCCCCACCGAGCCCAAGCCTGCCTCCATCCACCTCCTTACCATTCCCACTGCCCTCTCCACTTCCTGTGATTCCTTAAATATCACCGAGGCCTAATGAACCTCATTAACCTCAAGGACTGGCCCTGTGCCAATGGGAAAGTAACTGAGGAAAAAAAAAAAAATCTTAAATTTCCTGTAGGTTCCAGACAAGTGATATCAGGAGCTGGGACTTTTAGATCTGCACCCAAATTTCTGGTATGTCCAGAAAACCCACATGGCAGCAAGCGCAGGTAGTGAACATCTTTGTCCTCCTTCTGGAACAAACCCTCCGCTCTTCCCACATGGGGAAAACTCAATTTCTCAGAAAAGTATCAGAGCTGGGTTTCCTCTTATCAGCCTCTCACTGGGCCTCCTGGAGCCCACCACTGAGCAGGCAGGATGTTGATGTTTCGAAAATCCTTGTAGTTGTGTCTTGGTGGTTTTTTGAGTCAGATGATGTTTTTTACCACCCTGCTGCTTTCTTTAAGCTTTTTTCTTTCTTTTTCCACCCCTCAGTCTCTTTTTGGCGGCTACAAGACCTCACTGCAGCTACAAGGACTTGCCAAAAGGGAGGAGAAGCACCTCAAAACTCACCATGCAAACCCAGCGGACGGGGACTGAACCCTTGGTGGTGGTTTGCAGATGGGGAAGGGGTTTTGGGGGGCTGGTGGCCGCCTCCCCCACTGGTGACATGTCCCCACTGTGACAGGTCCCTGCTGCAACCAAGTAACCCCAGGGTGCGGCTCTGCCCTGACCTGCCCAGGGCAGGAATCACTTATCAACTGAAAGGGCAAAAAGCAACGAGGAACTGGCAAGGCACCCGCCCCAGCCCCACGGCATCGCCTGCCCCACGACATTGCCTGCCCCATGGGCATCCCCCTCCGATTGCCCCCCAGCCATTCCCAGGGCCGTGGCTCTCCCCTGCCCCCCCCCGGGTGCCCACACTACCCCACAGCCTGTCCCCCGACAGACCCTGCGTGCCCGCCCCATGGCCTCTGTGGTGTCAGGCGAGAGTGCCCCACCCCAGCAAACCCTTCCCCTCGCCTATAACTGCCCCAGTACCTGCGCCCCAGCTCCTCGCCGGTGCCGGGCTGCCATGGAGAGCTCCCACCCACCCACCAGCATCAACACGCAGCCCTACAGCAGGAATGGGGCAGGTTCCCCCGCCACCGCCTTCGGCCCCACCATCACCTCATTTGTTCAGATGGAGCCCGTCCCCAACCCCCAGGACTTTGTGCTCTGGTCCTTCTTCAACACCGTGTTCTTCAACGCCTTCTGCCTGGGCTTCATCGCGCTCATCTTCTCTGTCAAGGTGAGGAGAGAGGCACCCCCATCCCACCGCTCCCCCACCCGGCTTGGGGGTCCCCACGCCAAGGCTGCCTAATCCTGTCTTTCCCTGTCCCATCTTGTCCCACCTTGCCCCAAACTGCCTCAGTGCTCATCTTTCCCTCCACTTGACGCCCTCCCAACTCCCTCGGGCCACATCCAGCCCCCCCCCCCTCCCCCCTGCACCCAGCCTAGGTCTTTGGGAAAGGGGGGCCCGGGCAGCGCGGCGGGTCCGGCTCTCGTCCCACAGACTCAAGCGAGCCCCAGCCCATCTGCTGCGGGGGGGTGAGGTGGGCAGCCAGCTCCTGGCCCCCTCCCACTGCGCTCCCCAAACCACGGCGAGGCTTCGCCCCGACCTGAGTTAACAAACAGCTGCTGCCTGCACACTTCTTAATGGGCGCCCTGATCACCCCTCTGCCCCCCTCACCCAGAAC